AATTCCTTGAATCGTACAGGGTTTTTTATGGGTGACCGATTGTTCAACTCACTCTTCAATTGTAATGTCATCTGTGCACAACGATTGGTCGTGTTCCCTGGGTAGCGAGATTATCAAGAGTACGTGAACTGCTTTCTCATCGAAAGCATGTATTTTTGACTCCCATGTACGAGAGGGAAGCACGAAGTAGTAGTCTTTGCAGTTTGTGTGTGTGTGTGTGTTTTCCACTATTATCTCAAGAACAAATTATCAGATTTTAATGAAACATGGTACAGATATGATTAATTTATGGTTGAAATCAGTGCATATTAAATACCTAATTTGCATATTAATTAACCAATTTGAAGTATTTTCACATGTTTCTCACGTACTTTTCAACATATTTCAATGAAACTTGGTACATAAATTCTCTGGGATAATGAGCAAACCTGATTAGTTTTTAGTTGAAATCAGTGCATATTATTATCTAATTTGCATATTAATTATCCAGTTTTAAGCATTTTCACATGTACTTTACAACAGATTTCAATGAAACATGGTACATGGATGCCCTGGGATATTGCGCAGACCTGATTAGTTTTTGGTTGAAATCTTGTGCATATTAATTATCTAATTTGCATATTAATTTGCCAATTTTAGCCTTTTCACTTGCTTCTCATGTACCATACTACAGATTTTAATGAAACTTGGTACATAGATTCTCCGGGATAATGTGCAGACCTGATTAGTTTTTGTTGAAATTTTAACATGTTAATTATCTAATTGCATATTAATTAGTCAAATTCAAACTTGATACATAGATGCTCTTGTATTCTACATTTTCTTATTTACATGCATTTAATATCATTTGATGAAATTTATACCTGTATTGAGCAGCAATGACAAATAACTTGTTATAGAATTAACTACATTTATACTGTCTATGAAAAACAAAAACAGTTTCTTTCAGAGTAAATATGGTAATTTATTTTGAAATTCATGGGGACTGTATTATTTTATCATCTATTTCTTTCACATTTTCTGCTGACATTTAAGTTGTATTCTGACCAAATCATCGTTATCATCTATATGCCTAAGAAGAAATGTCAAACTTTCTTTTCACTGATAATATAGTCTTCTATATCCAACAGCTGGGTATATGGAAGGGCCTCCTCGTCTAGGAGTGGCACCCCTTTTTTCGTTTGGGATATTGCAGGGTTCGGTATATAAAGTAGGGCATAGGAAATAAGTGGTAAACAAGTAAAACTATAGTTCTACTGAGCTTTCATTGTGAGGAACCATGAAGTGCACAACTTGATTTATATACACCGTCTGTAAAATGTGACATTTCATTCATAAAATAGACAATACGCACAATGTTCACTGTCTGGTTTCACACAAAAGAGTCTCGTTGGCTTTGAATCAGTGTACCCCAGTAAGATGGTGCATCTGTAGTTTTCTTTGGGACTGAGCAGAGGTTGAATAGTTTACTGACTATCATACCATGTAATTCCTGCTGCTATAGCAGATGTTGAAATTGGCTTTCGGAGTGTGTCCTTTTGAACCGAGTTACATGTATATGTAATATATTTAGTATGTAAATCTAAATGGGCTTATCCTTAGGGGGGAGCTATGTCACAGAACGTCCTATGTTGCTAAGACGCGCACCACTCTACCATGTATGTCTATGGGCTCTGCATGAGCTGTTGTGGAACGCCATCAAAGAGCCGGTGAAAATAGCTAAATTTGAGAAAAAATACCAAGCTCAATTTTGAAGTAATCCTGAATAACCAAATTTATATATTTTACACACTCAGTGGTAATCTTGTTACACTGTTCAGGAGAGTCTCAACAACCATCCCAAAATACCGTTTTCTGAGTGTTTTTAGCCTTTGTTTTCACCGTAATGGTTGCTAGGCGGTGAAAATACCCGGATGTCCACCCAAAAGGATAATGTATTTATATTAGCTCCGCTGTCGACTTTGTTGAGCAGAGCTTATCATATGAGTGATTGTTCCTCGTCTGTGTCAACTTTTTACTTTTTCGACTTCTTCTTGAAAACTGCAAGTTCAATTGCTTTGATATTATATATATATATATATATGTGTGTACTACATGTGGACCTCTTTCAGATTTGTTCATTTTGTGATGGTATCTTCAATTCTCTAATTTTAATGAATATGTTGGTAAAAAGTGATATTTTTGACTTCTTGTTGAAAACCGCAAGTCTGATTGCTTTGATATTACATATATGGGTACTACATTTGGACCTCTGTCAGATTTGTTCATTTTGTGATGATATCTTCAATTCTCTAATTTTGATGAATATTTTTGTAATTTTTGGTAAAAAGTGATATTTTAGACTTCTTATTAAAAACCGTAAGTCCAATTGCTTTGATACTATACATATTGTTCATTTTCTAATGATAACTTCAGTTCTTTAATTGGAATGTGCATTGCTAACAGCGGAGCTATCTCAGTCAAGAAGCTGCTTATCATATTTTCAAATATCATATAAACATGATCTAAAAAAAATGTGCTTCCAAATCAGTGAGCACAAAATTATAGATAATATAGTGTCCCCTTCCCCATAAATATCCAAACATGGTAGTTAATTTGCATGATAATACAATCTAATTTGCATATTCATTAAACTTAACAGTAATTTCTTCTGTACGTTACTTAAGAGTTCACACATGCTTGTGAGATGATGTCTTTATGATAATGGAATACAAATATCTAAAAGTGTGCGATTGATACGATGTCAGCGATGTTGGTCTCTACCAGCTGTTCTTTTTCTAAAAAAAACCTGTTGGTCGCTGGTGTGTAGTTGCCTTTAATTTTTTGAAAAATTACATTTTTTGGTGGTCTTGTATCAGATTTGTGCATCTTAAATTCTATATTTTTGATGACTATTTTTTCAGTTGAAAAAATGGGTTGTATTGCCATCTTAACTCCCATGTGGGTGAAGCCCACAAGAGAGGCAATGAGTTTGGTCTGTCTGTCTGTCTGTGTAAGCAAAAACTTCAAATTTATTATATGATTAGTTTCAGGTCCATGCATACATATTAATTAGATAATTTGCATATTAAATTGCTAATTTGCATACTATCTCATTTCAGCCTATGTGAGCAAAATCTCAAAAACTTTGAGTAGATTTTGATAAAATTTAGTACATAGGTACCTTAGGGTAATGAGCAGGCATGATTTGTTTCAGGGTCATATCCATGCATATTAAATAACTAATTTACATATTAATTATCTCATTTCAGTATGTTTATGCAAAATCTTAAAAACTTCTCCATGGATTTTGATCACATTTAGTATGTAGGTACCTTGGAGTAATGTGCAGGCATGATTAGTTTTGGAGCCTCCCATGTCTGCATATTAAGTGGGTAATTTGCATTTTCTTACAGTGTGTAAGCAAAATCTCAAAAACTTTGATCAAATTTGCTATATATTGGTGCTGAATATCTGCTGACTAATGAACCTAATCGCTAAGGGACGACGTCAAAAGATCGATGTCGGATAAAAAACTTAATTCCTTTAGTTTTTTTCACCCCCCCCCCCCCCACTGAAACTTAATTTATAAATATTGATCATGGCGTCAGACTACATTCACCATTAAATACAAATTGATAATCGGACAGTAGTATGGCATACACTTAGTTGTAATAATGAAGGGGAATATACGCATGCGCAAACTACTTTTCTGGGTTCTACGCATGCTCTAGGTCCATGCCCTGAAATTGACCTCATTTGACGCACATATTTACGCTTGGACCAAACCATTTTCTTGCTTGGATGTGTTTTATTTTCATTTTCTCTTATTTTTGTCTATGATTGGATAGACAAAAAACGAACTACAATACTCAAAGATTTTTTTGACTTCATTAAAAAATAAAATCGTTTTTGTAGGATGGAAAATTTTGAGGTCAAAACCCCCTCACCCCCAAACTAAAGCAAATAAGTTTTTTTATCCGACATAGATCTTTTGACGTCGTCCCTAATGTCATTGCTCAGTCACTGACTGTTTGGAACCACCATTTATTCAGCTGGAATTTTCTTTAAAATAGGTACAATATTTACTATCAAGAAAGGCAAAAAGCGATTGAGGTGTTCCCTGATCAGTGAGCATTGTCAAATCGGTATATTGACCTTATATTTCTAACGCTGACGCTGCGATCAATCTAAGAAAGGCTGATTCACCGTTGAGGTTTGTCAGCGCTTTCTCGGAGAATCACCTGTAATTCATGAACAAGGTGTCTTGTATAACTTGGGTTGAGTTATCTTCATGTCAACAGGGAAAACAAACATGTCACATACCAACAGATAATAGCATTGTAAAACAGGAATTACAGACAACGACAAATTGCTGCAAAAAAAGCTGTTGACCCTGGATGACCTCATTTGACCTCATTAAAATGCATGAATATCTTATCTGCAGCACTATTGCAGATATTGCACACTCAACCAGTGCTTTATTGAAGACATTAAGCATATGATCTGATCATATATGGTCATGTAACCTCATTAAAATGCATAAATATCTTATCTGGAGCACTATTGCAGATAGAGACACTCAACCACTGCTTTAATGAAGACATTATGATCTGATCGTATATGGTCATGTGACTTCATTAAAATGCATAAATATCTTATCTGGAGCACGATTGCAGATAGAGACACTCAACCAGTGCTTTATTGAAGACATTATGTTCTGATCATATATGGTCATGTGACCTCATTAAAATGCATAAATATCTTATCTGGAGCACTATTGCAGATAGAGACACTCAACCAGTGCTTGTAATAAAGTTCTTCTATCTCTTGATCGTTTTCTTGTTCGGATCAACAAAAATAAACATTAATTGTGGTCCTCTGTATCAGTATGCAAAATTGTAAGAAAAAAATGCTTGGTATAAAGATTTCAAACAGATGAGATATTTTTTTTTTTTGCCTTATCAATTAAATAGAAACTCAAGTCTGACAACATAATTTTATGTGTTTTATAATTTTAGCTATGTCTAGGTTTCTAGAAGATCCTCAGCCAGTTACAGCAAGTTTAAAGGGTGTTGCAAGATTTAGATGTTATTTAGACTCAATACCTCAAGCAGATATTTCATGGGAAAAGGACAGGCTTCCAATTCCCTTTAACAACAGGCAAGTTTTTATTCATTTATTTATTTTATATATACTCGAAGTGCTTTGAGTTTTATTCCAAAATTTACAGCTAACTTACAGTAATGCACTACTCAATGTGGCAAGGAAACTGTGGACAGAAACACTGAACAGTTTCCTCTGATTGGTTGCCATCCTTGAAATGCCCCTAGCTGCAGGGTTCTCCACGAGGGGTTTTTACAGGGCGCCGCGCCCTGTTATCTGAAATTGGCGCCCTGTTTAAATTGTCAGCGCCCTGTTATATTTCCTGTGCGCCCTGCATGGTCCCATACAAAGAATTGTTTACAAAACAGGCCAACACTCATTGTCTTCCGAAGATGATTCATCGTGCTCAGGGTAACTGGTTCATTGTTTTAAGTGCAACTGTGAAAATTCCGGTTTGTTATCGTAGCAGTCACCGTGAGGTGATAACACACCAAAACAAAAGTTACAAGT